TATGTGTGAGGCATTCTGGCTGTTATACATATATGTGCATATGTTTCACTACCACTGGATATAACTCAGAGTTCTCTGTGTGTCTGACTGTCAACTTTCAAGCATGTGACATTTAACATTACCACAGTTAATACTGTTTTTGTTCAACAAACACAAGTTGTATGTATTCCTTCTATAGAGGGTGGAGGCTTGGCTTTGATAAGGAGGAGATGTGGGGATATATTTAATGTGGCTGACCATTTAGTGCTGTTGAATCTTTTGAAAGAAAATATCAATACACATTCAGAAAGAAAGACGACATGGAGCTTGGAAAATGATTATGATTAGTGGCGTCTGCCTTCACTTTTGTCCTGTTGATGACAAATGTCCAACAGAGAATGAGATCTGCAATTATTCCTCTGACTTGTTGAACCGTTTTTTTGTATTATATTTATTTTGGTCGTTTTTTAAAGTTGATGTATAATTGAATTGCCATGTAATTAATAGTAAATGTCAATGTTGTTGTACTGTTGCAGCAAATAGTGTTATTGACCTATTTATTATTTGATTGATTGATCATCAGTTTTTGCTGTCTTGTTTTTTTTTTTGCTTAGGCATCCTGTCCCCTATGAAACTTGACTTCCTTGTCTGATTGGATGGTCTCTGTTAATGATATGTTGAACAGCACATTGGCTTCCATCAGCATAGTGGTTTATAAATAATGCCTAAACAAAGAAAAAGACCAATGTAAGCAGACTTTAAATCCATTATAACAACAAATACATTTGCCTCCACACAAGCATATTGTGTGAACCTGTAATAAAGTTGGCAGTCACTTCAAATAAGTCACCTACAAGTGAACTGAAAGTGATTTATCAAACACATTACCGAAGACTTGCTGTCGTTTAGCTTCTTTCCTAAATGTGTGATCTAAACTCTTATTGTTATTTTCCTTGTTTTTCCTTTTTTGACTTTAAAAATCCCATTTCTATTTCTGTATGTAATGTTGTAACTCAGTCTTGATAGAGTGTCGGCTAAATGCTGAAAAATGTAATGCAATGTATCACTTTCCTAACATGTAATTGTTGTGTCCTTTTGATAGGTCATACCACATGGGCTGCTGTTTTTCTTTGGCTATGAGCTGGGTCACTGCTGGATACTGAACAGTCCATAATGGATAGACTGATGAAAGGAGCGGCCATTTTTAAATAAGAGAGAAATAGATTAAATGCAAATCGTTTTTCAGAGAGAGAGAGAGAACTGCATCCTGTGGTGAGGCATCGTCCAAATCAATTATAACAAAGTTGTACGTTCCCGACTTATCAGGCCATGTATTTGTGAGGAAAGCCTGTGCCCCTGCAATATGTATTTTTACTGCACCATACAAAAACAGCAACTCTTTCTGGATGTAAAGTCTGACATATTCAGAGTATAGAGTTCTATTTACTGAACAGTCACTGATTGAATCTAACCATCTCAACAACTAATTATAACTTCATTATCAGCTGACTGAAACCAAAGGCTAAAACAGTTGCAGTGTATTGCATGGGTTCATGCATTGTCTGATTAATTTTAATTTAAGTCAAAGGGTCATTGCCCAAAATGTGGTGTGAGCTTGTTTTCAATAAAGCCGTGACTGAACATTTTCCTCTGCCCGGAGTTGGCACAGTATATTCTCACATTGACAATGTGTGCAAGCAGAAATGGAAAAATACTGTAATTTGCTGCTGGTTACTTCCTCACTATCTAAGAATGTTTCGTCCTTTGGCTAAATGCAAGGAGGACAAAGACATGATAATTAGAAAACTCATATATTATGTGGATTAAAATGGTGATTTGATAACAGACAGTTTCAAGACAAAGGCATTTTAAACTGAAAATATTGTACTCAATGGATATTAAACTGTCAAAATCATGACATTGCGTAAGTGAAAAGTCTTAAAGGGTCCTTGAGCGGTGGGGGGGGGGGGGGAAGAATAATACTCATAACTATGTATTCATTAGAATACAATTACCTGAAACAAGGAATCGTGTTTTCGTTATCCTAGTTTCTACATAGGGAGTGGGTCCTCCTCACAGTCTGCTATGAGCGGACAAACTAAACACTGTCTCTAGAGGGCCTAAAGGCTAATGTACTTCTCCGACACGCTTGTATAACGGCAGTAACCCCGACCGCAGCCTGAAGTTTGTTGCTCATAAAGTAGAGTTATGGTAAGGAGGACCTCTGAGCAAGTAGTTAGGTTAAACGTTCTTATAGATACCACGGCTTTACAAAAACAAAACCTCTTGTCGTGTCCATGCTCTCTTATGCTTTACTTAATATGAGTCACAGTGTTGGTCCTCCTCCATATCTCATCTCATCTTTTATTCAGAGAAGTCTACATCTTTCAAATCTCATGCAGATTTGTTTGTCCTGTCACTGTGCCTAGCAGCATTTGTGAGTGCATTTAAATATTACAGACCCTGTCAGAACGCTTAGTGACATTGTTAACTGGATCTGTGATTGAGAAAACAAATGTGAGAAAGTTCCCCTTTACATTACAAATATAAACACAGCAGTTTGTTTTTCTCAACAATTCAGCATGTCTGCTTCCCTGTCTGTTTTTCTTTTGAACTTATTAGGAATCACATTGGTTTTCATGGCATGGCCGGGATACGTGGCATGTAGGAAAACCAGTGGGATCCATTAAAGGGTTCCAGCTTTGACACTCACTCCAACCCACTTTAAAACAAACAACTACGCTGTTGTTTTTCATTAGGTGTACGCTACACTGAAATATGATAATAAGGTCTGAAAGGAGCACTTATGTTGTCAAAAAACTCTTATACATGTTGTATTAAATCTATTACAACAAAGGAATTCAATACAACTCTTCCTTTTTCATCATCAATCCAGCTCACACTTTGCTCTAAATGGGAATTATTACCACCCACCACTATTGTTCCCAAACAGCACTAAATGTGCTCAAAGACACTCAAATGATTTGAGGCAACATGATTTAAACCCTTATTCACTTGAAATGAAGCTGCTAGACTGAGGCCATAGTGAGTCCATGCTGTGCTGTTAGTTGTGTATGATGAGGATTACATGCTTTGCTATTCAATGATTACTAGCTGTGAATGTATAAATCTGTCATTTGTAACTGTCCTCTGATGTGATTCTACATTATCTATGAGGAATAAATGACAACAATAATACAAACTTTGTGGAAAGTTTTTAAAGCTATTAACAGATGTTGCTCACACATGATTATGCTGAACATGTTCAGAGATGATAAAAATAACTGACAGTTTATTAAACTGATTGTCCACAATTGTGTTTGATGCATACTGTTCTGGGTTGACATTGGAATGCAGTGGATTATAATGACAATCTATTTTTGTTTGAATCCTTCTATGTGAGTCAGCCTTCAGAACATTTGGCAAAGTGTGTTGTGTGAAGAATGATCTCATCTGCATCACAGTTAACAACAAGAGCTGGCCTGTCAGGTGTCTCATCAACACATTTCAGCTGCAAAGCTCAAGGGGCGGGAGTCACCAGAGCACTAACACCCCGTCCAATCAGAACGCATTAATCTGACACAGACTTACTTTACCGCTTTCAACCAACTTGTCAGAAACTGTTCAAGCAAGAAAAGTGGTGTTTCACTCGGACAAAAAAGTAACAAATAATAATTGACTTAAACCAATGGGTCACATGTTACAGGAATATATGAATACATAAAGTAATATGTTTGAGATTACTTTACAGTAAATATGTACATTGCAGTAAGTAAAAGGTGTTTACCTGAAATGTTGTTGAGGGTTAATATACCACATATGAAAGCATTGTGTTTTAGTTCGGTCATTTCATATCTGATATTTGCTATCTTCTGAGACATACGATGCCAAGTTCTTTCCTGATGGTTTTCTTGCCTCTGTTTTTAATTTAAATAGAGTCCTTTAAACCCATGTTGCCTGAACGCCTTTGACTCTATGACACCAGAATAAAAGTAAATTAAATCACCCAAAAAAGCACTCAAACCTTCAGAGCACTGAATCAAAACTGCAGAAATATATTTTAGACCAAATGAGCTGAGCTGTGTTTTTGAGTTTGCTTTGTGATAATGAGCTTTGTTTGAAAGTGACACATTGTTAGCAAGTGAATGACACTTTATTTTAATGCTGCAGTTTGGAGCTGATTATAATGACCTGTTAGATATACTGTAACGTTAAATCAGAAGAAAGACTGGAGAACATTTGTCTCAATAGCATTAGGTCCCCCCCTGTGACCTTGATGACAGTTTGCAGTCATAACTTGTGATAAAAAGAGAACAAAAAGACCATGCCACATTCACATTAATGGTGTTGCAGTTGTATTTTTCATATTGTATCTATGACTCCTGTTACAAATAGCACTTATGTGTCAGGTAGATCTCCTCAAAATATCCGACTCATGTAATTTGATGAGTGTAATGGATTTTAAATCAAGAAAGTGTGTTAAATTTACTGAAAACGGAGTAATTATGTTTTGAAAAAGATATTGCAATCCTGATATGCTGAATATGCAACAGCTGGCAAAATCATAAAAATGAACATGTTCAACCTTAAAAATAAACAGTGCATTGTTTCCCCAGTTAATTATACATTAAAGCCAATTAGTAATTTTCCATTTTAAATCTTGGGGATCAGTATATGTTGTGGATGTTGTCTGCCAGAGCTTGACCTTGGAGGGCAGTGGGTTACAATAGGAGGTGAGAACTCACTACACTCACTTTACTTTCTTTGTTTACTGCATTATTCCCTGGATGAGAAACCCCCAGAAAAGTTCTGCACTGGAGCCAAACAATAGCTGCCTGCATCCAACACACAGCACAGTGAACCCACTGCCATGAAACAAGCATTAAGAGTCAAGGGCAGTGGGTTAAAAATAAACTCACATTGGGTCACTATAGCCCACAAAAATCCAACACTGATGGTTTTTAATTGCAGGGATCATGGTGAATGCCTCTGAAGAAGAGGACTTAAAATACCTGACTTACCTTCTGCAAGCAGACGCACGGCATGAACATAGGTGGGGTCCAAGCCCTTCTTCTCGGCTACCAGTTCAGGTAAGCACTTCTCCGGATGCATTGTTTTATTTGAGCAGACCTCTTCCTCGGTCATGGAGGTGAAGCGACAGAGGGCTGAGCGTCGGAATGCAACTGTAAACCTTCCCGCTCCGGCTTTTCAGTAGCTTCAATCTACCAGTCTAAAGAGCGCCACAAGAAAAAACAAAACCCTCCAAAAATAAATCGTCCCGGGTCTCCGAGATGCCTGACTGGAGGCTGAGATGTAATTCAGAGGTGTGAGCGACTGGAGGAAGCTTTGACTTGTGATTCAGAGGTGTGAGCCCATTTCCTCCACCGCTGCCTGCTGCCTCACCTCGGCACCCCGCCAGACTCTCACACTCAGTGGGTCTGCAGCCCGCGCTGCTCCCCGCCCCTCAGCATCATTATCGGCCATATTCCGGGACAGGCGCTGCTGGAAAACAAAGCCGGTCCCCGCTGAGCGAAAACCAATTGAGCAATGTGCATGGAGGGAATGGATTTAAGAAATACAAATAAAAAAAGTTGACGTTGCAGTGGCTGACAATAATACCTGCAATATTTCCCTTATAAAATGAAAGAATATTAACTTGTATGCTTGTTATGTTGCCTATTAAAAAACTATTGCCTAAGGTCAAGGTACATTTGTTATAAGGTGCCAGTCACGATGTAAGTCCCTGTAAGAGCTATCAGTGGAGTCTATTAAAGTGTGTATGATAAGTTTAATTATGGATGAAAATCTTACTAGTAAGAAAGATAGTGCCTTATCTCCAAGAAAAAACATTCCTTATCCAAACAAAAAGGTGGCCTGTGAGTTTCTGTTCAAAGTTCCCTAGAGTAGCTCACACCTAAAACTATGTGTGCATTATGTAGAATATAATAGAATTGGGAGGGATGAAACCCTCTTTTAATATTCACAAAGGCAGAGCACACAGCACACACAGTGACATTTGGCCTCTGCATTTAACCCATCCCTGTACCAGGAGTCTTGTACCCATGTACTTTATGGAGAAAGGACAGGTTTTAAACCCATGTGTCGCTGTCCGAGGTGCTGAACACTTGCTGCATGACTGATATTTCTCTTTTTATTACATGTATTCTAAATGATAACCTACCACGAGAATACACCACAAAAAGGAGCTCTTTCTAATGTTGCATTTGCTTTTTTCAGTAGGGCAAATATTCTGACTCATTAGTGCACTTGGATGTTAATCAGCCTACCTTGGTATATTTACAAGTAAACAATCCAGTATAAGAGTCAGAATAATGTATAGTTCTCACATCCTGTGCTGTGGGGGCTCAGGTAGTCAAGAAGAGCTATGTCTGCTTGTGAAGTGAATTATATGACACTACCTTAAAGAGGTTTCAATGTCAAGTGAATGCTTCATTAGGTCTTTATGAAGCAATGTCAGTGGTGTCAGCAGTGTAAGCATGCATCCCATATGAAACGCTTCCCTTGTCCCGTAGTATGATATTGGCTTGAGTCCTAAAGTCGTCTGAAGCGCAGCACGCAGGCTGCTTTACTTACTCACTCTTCAGTTTGAGCAGAAGAGGCTGGTGAATGACCAATTGTAGCTCCACTTGACCTTTACAGTTGACTCAGACTGCACTGACCAGAATCACTAAGACTGTGAGGGGAATACACACTGTTGAATGAGAGTCCATTTGTATGAATCTATTATTGTTCTACCACAAATGTAAGACTATCAATAAACGTTAAAAGTATGAACATAAGATGAAAGTTTGTTGACTATGCCCACATAACTTCCTTTTTCATGTGTGTCATTAATATGTACTTTTTAAACACTATTTCTTCCATTTGACCTTTAAATTATCTTGACATTGAAGATGAGTATGACGTTTGTCTTTGTTTGGTAGACTAATACATGGTGCAATGCTATTGGTTTCAGGGTCACAATACACAATATTTTCTCTGTCACAACATGTGAACATTTAATCTGATTTGATTTAATTGATATTGTTAATTTATTCTCATTCGTGAAATGGCATTATAAGATGCCAATACAGATCATAGCTTGTCCTTTGCCATTTCTCTTTATAATTAACAACTTATTTCTCTCTGAAATGAGACACAATTTCATTCTTTTGCTTGATGGCCAACAATAAGTGACTGGACCCATGTCGGCCAGTACTGGCTTTGCATTTCATGCTTGCTGAACCTTCACTGATTTAATTTCATTCAATGATGTGATTCATAACAATGATAATCCTGCTGTGGCTACTGATGGTAATGATGTTTATAACTGTTAGTGTGGTTAATCTTGTAATCGTATAAAATGCATGTGAATTTAGACAGAAAAGACATTAACACACAATGTGCTCCTTCTTATTGAAAATATGGATGCGCAAAATAGCTTACATTGATGTTTATCAGTGCAGATGGGAAGAATACTTTTTTTTATCAGACGAGATGTCATTAGAGACAAAGAGGATTGCAAGTGACAATTTTAACTTAGACTCTCTCTGTATCAATACTGAAAAGTGTTCAAAGCATCCCATGCAGACTTACTGCGCTCTAGTGGTCAGAGTGCAATGTTACACAAATCATGGCTAAATGTATCAGCTTAGACCTAAATAGTGCAGCTGAAGGATAGGTTATATATAACTAAATATTTTCAACTTTGTTTCCCTTATTGTCGTCAAAGTTTAAATGTCTGCAGAGAGGAAATGTGCAATAAAAAGAAAGGTGCCTGATCAAAACAAGTTGTTTTATTTGCAGTACTTGTTTATCTTGTGCATTCAGTGTGAAGGTCTATATGAGTCTATATTTGACAGTATTGCACATTATTTACCTTTATTATTTGCTGGGGAAATGAAAAGGAACATGCATGAGGAACGATAATTGGGAATTTTAACTTGTTTTTTACAGGGGGTTAACAATTATGTGTGAATCACAGAAGACCCCCCTCTATACACTCATTGTGATTGTTTGGTCATCTAGTAAACTCTGGCCTCTTTTTCCCCTCGTTATCTAATCTAAGAGGTTTTCAAACTTTGTTTTCAAAATAAAGCTATATAAATGCCCTGCTATATAACACACTTCTGTTCCTTTAAAATAACTGGCCTGTAAAATAAATCCACCTCAGGCCTTCCTGACCTTTTGACCCTTACAAAGCTTTTTTGTCTGTTTTTATTCTCAAACAACATCAACCGTCACACTATTTTGTGCAATACATATCATTTGAGATAATGCCTTAGAGACTTCATAAACAGGGACAGGCCATACTTTTATTTATCAAGTATGTATGTAGTAGGCTACTATTGGCAATGTTTTCTCTGTATTCCAAAAATACAATACATTCTACTCTGAAGCAACACCAATCGCTTGGATGATATTAATGTAAGGTGAAACATGCTGAAAATAATATTGCCTGGTAGCCTGGTACAGAAGTCATGCCTTGTCACAAAAGAGTGAGCAACACCTGACATCTCAGGCATATAGAGGCTTGTTTTGGAGGTTCCTTGTGGTTACATCATGATTAAAATGATTGTGTCAAAAGGCATTTTAAAACATAGATTTGTCAGTCCAATGACACTTTCTTTTAAGGCAGTTATATGATCTACGCGTACTACTCAATGTTCAAGTTGGTCTACAGGGGTTTATTATGAAAACTTTACCGGAAGTCTTACTTTGAACGATATGGCTTGACATTAGTAGCAGCATGGCATGCAGGCTCTCGGGAAAAACTCCCACAGGCAAAGGAAAGCTCCACAAAGTATTCACATAAGTGTGTGATAGGAGAGGATGCATTGATTGTTAATAAGTACAAATGTGTGGCCTTTATTGGAAAAGTGGTGAATGTTGCTTTGCAACAAGCAAAAAAGAGGTCAAGACTGAAAACAATAGTGGAAGCAGCAGGTGAATTTTTGGGGGTAAAGGATATAACCGTTGAAATGATACATGATATGCTAGCCCCCAATAATGATGATTCACAGATTAGTGAGTAGATTAATGTTTTTTCTCATTTTGCAGTGAAATGCTAGAAGCCTTATTGCAAATGGACAATAATTCAAGACCTATATATATCAGTTAAAAGAAAAACCAGATGTTATTTGTATTCAAGAAACATGGCTGAAGACTTATTTGGACTTCATTATTGGGGAGTGCTATAAAACATGATAGAAGTGATGGTCAGGTAGGGGGATGTGCAATCTTTATCAGAGAAGTAATGTCTTATAGTAGGCTAACATTTAAGAACAGTCTTGATTTAGAAATAGTGGGTCTAGAACTTTGGATTAATAAAAGGAAAATTAGTGTCCTGAATTGTTATAATCCATGTAATAAACTCAAAATAGAGGAATTAGACAGACTTTGTCAAGGAAATGAAATAATATGGTGTGGTGATTTTAATGCACATAATACAATGTGGGGTGGGAGATCAACAGATTTCAACGGACAGGTAGTGGAGGACTTAATGGAGGCAAATAAATGAGTTTGTTTAAATAATGGGCAAGGTACAAGACTACATTTTAGAGATGGAACAGAGTCTGCGATCGATCTAACTCTGGTAACAAGTGAATTAGCTTCCGGTAGCAGTTGGGAAGTATTGGCAAATAACAGTATTGGGAGTGATCATCTTCCGATTATAATCAAGTATGATATAAGTAATGTGGTTGAGTTAGACGGTATAATGAGATGGACTTTTTCTAAATCAAATTGGGAGATGTTTGCTAAATTGTGTGATAATGAAATTGATAAGATTGATATGGCAGGAAGTATTGATGAAATAAATGAGCAATTTACTTCAAATATAATTAAAAGCCCTAATCAAATAAAAATAAATAATAAAACTGGTAAACTTAGTAAATGTGTTAAGATGGTACCGTGGTGGAACAAAGAATGTAATGATGCAATCCGAAACAAAATCAGGCTGTTTGGAAAGTTAAGAAAGACACATTCATTACACAATTTATTAGAATATAAAAAGGCACAGGCTCAGGAAAATTGTTAAAAGAGCAAAAAGGGAATGTTAGAGAGGATTCTGTTCGAGTATTGGGAGAACTACGCCATTAGATAAATTATGGGGAATGATTAAGAAGATTAGGGGAATTAGACTGCAGAGTAACTTGCCAGTGTTAGAGAATGGAGGAGAAATTGCCACTGGTGCTATGGAGAAGGCAGAAATTCTAGCTAAGAATTTTGTCAAAGTTAATTCTTCTGAAGATTTGACAGAAGAAGGTAAGATCAGGAGACAGGAAGTGTTAGATGAACATCCGAGGAAAGAAATTCGTCGCAGAGTGTTGTAAATGTACCTTTTTCTATTCAAGAGTTGAGAAGAGCACTAAGTAAGTGTAACATGACTGCTCCTGGGAAAGATAATGTATGTTACATAATGTTGACCAAATTAAGTGATTTTGCATTAGGAAAGCTGCTGGAGATGTACAATAAGATT